ATAATTCATTTGGTTGCTTGCAACTTTTCCCTCCCATAAAAGTATTATACTAGATGCTCGTCTGCCAACACATTTTTCCTTCCCTATTTCCTTAGGACAAATCTAGTAGTGGGAAATTAGGCCACTGTTCAGGAAGATGTTCTTATTGCTGCTCCATTGCCAGGGGCAGCAAGGAATATTTCAGACAGTTTCTTCCTGAAATCAAGAAATTTGAATCAGGTGATGTCATGAGGCTACAGGAAGGTTTCAGTTCTGATTTTCCTCCTCTTTCCCTATAGCCTCCGGGTTCACAAATACAGTCAACGTCACTACTATGGCCACAGAGTCATCTACCCAAGGAATATTTACAGTTGTTCCTACAAATATATCCAACCAGGAAACCACAACACCAAGCATCCTTGGAAATAGCAGCCACTACCCTGTCTCTCAGGATACCAACTACTATGGCCACAGAGTCATCTACCCAAGGAATATTTACAGTTGTTCCTACAAATATATCCAGCCAGGAAACCACAACACCAAGCATCCTTGGAAATAGCAGCCACTACCCTGTCTCTCAGGATACCAATGAGACCACGGTAACCATCCCAGGTAAAGAGTGTTTGTCTCGGGTCCCAGAGAGTTGCTGCTGGTGGTTGGTCAAAGCATTTAGGATGTTTGCAGGCTCCTCCCCCCACCGCAGATGGAATCATACAACCACCTTGAATTTATGCTTTGAGCATCATGCTTAGGGTACCATGAAGTAGGTTCTAGATCTGTCTTCCTATAGTGACAACTTTCTCAGGCCAACACCTTGGCAGCTGATCCTGATCAGTGATGCTCCCTGTACCCCTTCTCTCATGCTCAGTTCAGCTTAGTGATAAAATAAGGATCCGATGAGGACTCCATAGAGATCTCTGATCTCTTCTAAATGAAGGAAGGTGGATACAGGTTCAAATTGGGGGTCCTTGGCTTCTCTAAGGTGGACTAGTGTCTAGTTCAGTTTCAGAATCCCAAGGACCCCTCTAGTACATTCTAGATTATAGCTATGGTTCCAACAGCTGGCTTGAAATGAGTTTGGTCAGGGTTAGGACATGAAATAACTGTTAATTCTCAAACTCCTTTTCCTGTGTTGAAGTCTGCCCATGTTGTGAACTGAGATTATGTGTGTGTGTATGCACAGGTACACACATGCACACCTGTGTTTCGGCATTTTCCAGACACTACAGTTAATTTCACATCTAGCTCTGAGATCACCCCAGTCCCTGGAACCACAAACTCTTCTGTCCAGTCACAGACTTCTCTAGCCACCACAGTGCCCACCACCCCAGCCGATGTTTTGACTTCAGAGACGACCTTGAAGCCCAGCATGTCACCTGGAAATGTTTCTGATGTCTCACCCAACAGCACCATTCCTGTGACATTCTTCACTGAAACTTATACATCATCTCCTCCTACCTCAAGTACTGTCAAGGTGAGTAATTGTGCCTGAGATGGCAGATTGCCCCCTTCACTCTATGTGTATGCAAGCAAGCTCCCTTTTCCCCTCCACCTGTTACCATCCCAGCCAGTGGGATTTGGGTCATGTGGGAATCAGCTCGGAAATACGCGGTTTTAAATATTGCTGAGAGCTGTAGAAAGGGGAGGGAAAGGATGGAGCTGTGTGGCAAGGCCAACCTGTGCTTTGGGTATTGCATTTTAGGGAGTAGAGAGAAAGGGGATTCTCGGAGACACATCCAGTCCTCGGTGGTTCTTTTTAGTACCTATTGGTGTGGCTTTGACCTGGGCACCATTGCCCTTTAGGAATATTTGGAAATCGTCCCACATTTAATTGGGCTGCTTCTCTCCCAGAATGTTTCGGACAAATAACGTTTCTATGTGAGAGAGTTTAGTGGTTGTGCCAGGTCTTAGAGAGACACTGAGGAGGTCCTTGGCAGTGGTAAAAACTGGACAGACCAAGGATAGTGACCTCAGCCTGCCCTTCTCGGCCTTGGGGCCTGTGGCTGTCAACAGCTTTCAGCACAATAGGTAGAAAAAGTGAGGGCGTGGAGCCTGGGGACAGACATGAGAGGCCTTTCTGATTTCTGTTTTTAGAGGAGTCAGAATAGGAATCTGGAGAGTCCTAGGGACCAGGAGGAAAATGGGTGTCACCAGGATCTGCCCAGCCACCCCTTATCTGTTTGCCTGTACAGCCTTCCTGCAAGCATGTAATTGACTGGAGAGAAAACAGCCCAAATGGGGAAAGATCATCCCCTCTCCTATTTCTGCACCAACCAAGCCAATGTTTACGAAGACTTCAAGTTGCCTGCAAGCCCAGGCTACTAACAAAAGCTTTGATTATCTGATGGGGATGGGAGTAAGATGGAAAGAGAGATACTAACTATTAGAAATCTATTATACTATTATATATAAAACTATTATACTAACTATTAGAAATCTCTAGTCCCCTGACAAATTTTTCATTTCTTTTTTCCTAAAACCTCTTAACAGAGTACCTCACAGAAATCAAACTGGGAAATAGGTGGGGAAGAAATGAGGGGCAAAGATGCTGGCGTATTTAATTTGTTTTTGTTATTGTTTTTGTTTTAATACAGGGAGAAATCAAATGTTTAGGAATCAAAAAAATCCAAGAAATGAGATTGCTTCAGGGCATCTGGCTGGAGATAAATGAGACCTGCAGCTGTGTAAGTCCCCTCCCCTCCCCTCCCCCCAGGCCTCCCC